CTTGCCGCAACCAGTGCTCCGGGGACTTGGGGGCCGTCCCTTTTCTGCCTCGCCCAGTGGCCCTCACTGGTGCGGGCGGCTGTTTCCGTCCACCAGGCACTACAGAGGCAGGCTGCAGGGGCAACATGTCCTGGGGACTTCTTTGGGGGGGCACGTGGAGCCTTGGCCACGTCAAGGTCAAGTGTGGCAGTACCTTGTCTGTCGGGCCACCGGACCAGAGCCCATCCTGTCCTAGCCTGGCAGACCCCACATGGCTCTGGGGACCACGGCTCCCCCTGTCCTCTGATCCCCAGATCCTGGCTCAGTACCTGGCCGGCCCACAGCTGCGCTCGTGCACCAGGCAGTTTCCTGGCCCCCAGACAGGAGGACATAGCAGGCCCCCTCAGAAAGGGGTTTCATTTCAGGCAGGAAGAGAGGAAAGTGTTGACTGCTGCACCTCCAATTGTATCTTTTCTTTTTATTTTTGGGGATTGGGTTAGTGTCTCTCTTCTGATGAGTTGCCCGTTCTCTCATTTTCTCTCACTCCTGTGCAGTTGATTTATTTAAAGGTGTGTCAGCACGGGGCTCAAATGAGGAGCTGGGCCTCCTTCTTTCTGCTGACGGCCGGCCATGCCAATAAGTCATTTTTTAGCTCATTAGCTAACGGAGACTGTGAGCCGCGGGCCTCCAGGGGATTGGAATGAGGTGAAGTGATCTACTGCCAGCTACGCTGCTCTTGAACTGGCCTTCCTTAGGGAGAATGAAAGGCTCGGCCAAGACACGCGGGGGATCCCAGAAGTAAGATTGGGACATCAGAGTAACAATTAGCGTATTTGTGCTTTGGCGTCCTGGTTTCTTGGGATAAATGGTTTTAGACAGAATATTCTTGTAGCAAAGGAGTCATTAGCAGAGTGTCCATCTTTCACGTGGTAGCGGTGGGCACAGGAGCCAGATGACAGTGATGGAGGCCATGGTCATCCAGGGCTTTAGTCGGCCGGGGCTGCCTGAACAGAAGCCCACAGAGCAGGTGGCTATAACAACAGAGATGTATTTTCTCACAGCTCGGGGGGCTGCAAGGTCAAGGTCAAGATGCCAGGGTTGTTTTCCGGTGAGAGCTCTTCCTGGCTTGCAGACGGGGCCATCACGTAGACGGAGATGCCCATGTCTCTTCCTCATCTTTAAAGGACACCAGCCCCACTGGAGTAGGGGAGTATGATCTCACTGAACCCCAGTGACCTCCTTAGAGGCCTGGTCTCCCAAATGCAGACACATCTGGGTTAGGACTTCGGTATATGCATTTGGGGGCACACAGTTCAGGCCGTAACACCCAGGAAGACGTCAGACATCTCAGAGCTGTGGGCTGGGGCTAACCTCACTTGGCCCCATATACCATGACAGCCACAGCGTCCTTCATACTAGCCGGGCACCCCTCGCCCAGTGTCCCAAGCCCCTCCGCCCCATGTTAGGGTGTGGGGGTAACCACAGGGTACCAGTGGGTTTGTCAGGGCCCCTGGCCTAGGGCCCTCACCTTGCCCTCCCCAGGGCATTGACAGCCCGGACTTAGAAATCTAAAGCATCCAGCAGGTGTTTGACCCCCACGAACTCCTGTGCCATGGACCCCTCTTTGTCCCACACGTCACCCCCACAAGTGAGGTCACAGGTGCTCGAGAGCGGTGGTGCGTCATTAGAGACGCCATTCGATTCCATCATGACAGTGCCCATGACCAGCTCGCCCTCCAAACATGGTCACCTTGGCCCCGAGACCGCCCTGCCTGCTGCAGACATCACTGTGCCCACTTTAAAGATGAGGAAGACAGGGCCCAAGGGGTCCCTGAGGGTGTGGCAGTCGACACCACAAGGAGGAGGAATCAAGCAGGCACACAGATGCCATGTCTCCATAGCCAAAAACCAGGGCCTTGTAGCCCCCGGCTGTTCTTTCTTCCTGCCCTTGGCCACTGTGGAAAGCACAAAGGGTGAAGGTTACCCCCTCGGTTGCCAGGGTGCGTGGTGACCAGGGGACATGGGTTCATGATAAAGGCAAGAGCTTGCGCATGAATAGGGCTTCTTGAAGTAGCAAGACCCATGTGCCCTTGTCAGTGCTCTCTGCTCCCACCAGCTGGAGTGCGTGCGCCTGGGGCTTGCATGAAGCCCAGTGGCCTCCCTTAGCTTTCTGGCCCCTCCCGGTATTAGAACACTGACACCCTGCGGTCCTTCAGGGTGCAAGAGCCAGCATGGGAAGCTCCTGTTTATAAATAGCAAAGAAGTCTTGGTGAAGAGCGCTAGTTCCCCCCACGACAAAAGCCACACATTAAGACAGCTCTAGGGGGACCAGGTGGAGTGTTGCTAGAAGAGGCAGTCCCCACCGAGTGCTTGCGGTAGTCCTTTGGGGACAGCCCCTGTAGCAAGCAAGAGTTGGTAGAGGTTCAGAAGCCCGGTTGGGTTCAGTCACCTCCCTCCAGCTCTGCAGGGTTGCAGGTGGACCAGCTGAGAAGAGCTCAGGCCTTGCGCCTTCCCTTGTAGGAACCCTCTCCAAGACCTTGTTCCTAATTTCACATACATAACGTTACAGTCTTTCTCCTGAAGAAGCTCCCAAAATAGTGTTCGGCCCCCTAAAATCTGGACCCACGTTTGTGACATAAACAGCACCGACTTTGAAATGTAAGGAACAGTTTTAATAAACAGGACAGTCGTTGACACACGTGTCGATTGCCGTGAACCCAGACAAACTTGTTTGTGGGGGTGACCCGACCCCCAGCCAGAAAGTCACCCTCCCTTCCCCGGGAGAACGTGCTGGCCACCGGACAGGACCCAGAAGCTGCAGGCTCTCCTCAGTCTTCGCCTGGGGCATCCGAATATTAAAAAGAGAATTGGATAATTATAGTGAGGATGATAGTTACCGTGTTCAGTTCTCTGTTTTATCCCTGGGTGATTTGGCAATGCGCATTAAAATCCACCAGAGCAGAATAAAACAGCTCTGATTTTAATGCCTATCCCCAAAAACGAGAGTTAGCAAATTAGAGCTTGAAAATCTGGACACATCCTTCACCACTGTCCCTTTTCATTGCATTCACGTTTGGTTCTTTTCTTTGGTGATTTATGAAATGCATCAACGTATGTTAAATACATTTTAAATAAGGTTTTTTAAAATACCATGAGAGACATGATTTGTTTGCAGTGTTCTTTCTTTCTCCTGCCCAGAGCTTTTGTGCTTGTATTTTGTCCCAAGTGGGGACTGGGTACCGGGCTGTGTCCCGGGTGGGGTGTGTGGTGGGTTCTCAGCTGTAGCCGAGAGTTTGTCCTGGAAATCTCCGCATGAAAAGGGTCGGGGGTCACTCTGGGGTCACTCGCATGTACCAGGAAGTGAAGCAAAACTAATCCAGATTTACTCCTGGAAGAATTTGTTTGCCTAAGTATTTAAAAACAGATTAGGGCTAACCCGACACTAGATCACTAGGAGCAATGTAAACATGGGTAAAAGGTGTAAACAAGGCCTTTCTTCTGTACTTCGGAAGAAAAAATGTCATGGTTAATGAGTTTTCTTTCTAGAGTATCACGGAGGTCCTAAGTGATTCTCTGTGTGGTGTGTAGCTATGTACCCTGATCCTTCTCTGGGAGGGAACGCTGGGTTGTAGGAGGGGGCAGCGGTGAAGCAGTGTGTTAAGTCTCAGGAACGACAGTCACTGCTCTGCAGGGCTGTCCTTTCATCTCTCATCGTCCTCGTGGAAAAGCATCTGTCCGGCTAGCCGCACCCTGTCTGCGCCCACCCTGCATGCTCGCCACCCCCCAAGACTGGCGCCCCCCCCCCCGACTCACCCACCTCCAGAGCTACTTGTGAAATCCCCCTTCAGTCTCCAGCGTTTCCTCTTCGCCCCAGGCAAGGCTGCAGGGCCATGACACTGAAAAGTGTCTCTTGCACCCTGTTTTGAGAAACCAAAACCCATGAACACACCTTGCAGTTGATTTCTTCCTTTTTCTCTCTACTTTCTCTTCCCATTCTCCCCCCGCCTTCTTATGCTCAGCCCTCATTCCAGATGTCATAGGCAGCATCCTGTCCTGCTTGGATTCCGACCCTCCCACCCACAACCAAGTTCCCAGAAGACCAGAGCTCCTGGGGGTGGGACTCCCGCTGCAGCTCGTTGCATCTGTGACCCCATCTGAGGCCCTTCCCCTATCCTCCTTGTATCATCCCCTCCTGCACCCCTAGCTCACCTCTGGCCTTGGGCCCCCTGCATTGTCTCCCGGGCTGGGCCCTCTTACACCTTGACGCTCTCCACTTCAGCCTTCCGCATGTCTCCACAGAGGTTACAAAATCAAGTTGTAACTGCATTAGTTTGCTTGTCTTTGCCAGACCTCTCCATTGGGGTCTCTGTGGTTTCACACGTGGGTCTGTAACAAGATGTTCCTTAACCGAATCACTGGGAGACCCCGGGGGAGTTCACACACTCCCTTCCCAGGCTCCGAGTTAGGGGCTAAGAGTTCAAGGTCACACCGGGTTGGGGAGCCCCCTGGCCATCCTGTCCCCTGGTCTTGAACTCCAGCAGGGTCCTCTAATCCCAACTAAAAGCTGTCATTGCTTATAGTAGAGGGGGCTCCAGGCTGCCCTGCCATGCGTGAAGTCTTGAGCAGCAAGGTGGTTCCTCAGGCTTCTGGGCTAAAACCAAAAGAAATCACGTGAGAGCTCAAGGCCATCGGCCTCTGTGCACACCGGCAGTCATCAGAACTCCCTTCCCCAGAAGTTCTGATTCAAGGAGGCCTGGGGAAGAGCCTGGGGATGAGCCTGGGGATCTGCATTTCTAGCACATTTCCAGGTGGTGCTGATGCTGCTGGGCGGGGGACCCCAGTCTGGGAAACAGGGGCCTGTCCCTCCAGGGGCTTTCTGGTGGCTCCGTGGAGGCACCTGTCTCCTGCTATTGCACTTCCGCCCTGAGGCCACCAGACCACCTAGGTGCTGGAGCAGAGAGGCCTTTCAGCCTTGGTTGTCCTTCCTGGCAGTGACCGCGCCCATGTGGTGGCTCTTGCAGGGAAGAGAAAGAGCGGTGGATCCGAGCCAAGTACGAGCAGAAGCTCTTCCTGGCGCCGTTACCCTGCACGGAGCTGTCCCTGGGCCAGCACCTGCTGCGGGCCACGGCCGACGAGGACCTGCGGGCCGTCATCCTGTTGCTGGCCCACGGCTCCCGAGAGGAGGTGAATGAGACCTGCGGAGAGGGGGATGGCCGCACAGCACTGCACCTGGCGTGCCGGAAGGGTAACGTGGTCCTGGCACAGCTCCTGATTTGGGTAGGTCACCCGGGTGCCACACAGGGGGCACCATGTTCTGCTCTGCAGGCATGGTTGGGGCAGAAGGTCACAGGTCTCAAGGTGGGAAGCAGTGTGGACAAGGCATGGGGGATTTCGGTGTGGAGGCCCCCGGCTCTCAGGCTCCCTTTCGTGAGGACACCCCTGGAGGGCTGAGGGAGCAAAGGGAGGAGGTGAGCGGGACACGCTCCACCTGCCATGGGTCAGGGTGTCTGCAGAGTTCGCATTTCTCATGACCCCTTTGGGTGGAGCGTGGCTGGAGGTGTCCCTCTTGTTCCTTTTATGACAGACTCCTGGCATCTTTATTTCAGAGCAGGGTGGAAAGCAAGGACACAGCTAGTTTATGTGGTTTTCCCTTTTCCAGACACAAAAATACTGGACCCAAAGTTTGGTGTTTAACACAGTAGGACTTTAGCAAAGTGCTTCTTCTGGACTGTTCTGGCTAACTTGTGCTATTTTTTAAATATCTAAATATTTTTTTATTTTATTTTATTTTTACTTATTTATATTTTATTTTTAAATATCTAAATATTTTAAAATATCTATTATTTTTTAAATATCAATGGAAGCATTTGCCATAAAGTCTGAATGGGGACAGGGATGGGACAACATGCAGAGCAGGGCACTGCCTGGGCTGCGGGGTGGGGGGGCTGCTTCAAAGAAGCCCACACCCCACGGAGGCAGCTTTCTTCGGGGCTTGGCCATTGCGGGTCCTGTGGAAGGTGGAGGAAAGCTGCTACCGAGAGGTCCCTGGCCGGTGTGGAGGAAAACACTTGCCCACGGTCAGACTGAATAGTGCAGTGCGGTATGAGCTGACTTTCTGTGCTCTTGTGTATTACATATGTGTTTCCTACAATGGAAGGCAATCATCTCCAAGATCAAGAAGTGATTATTTTTTGTTTTTACAGTTGCAAAGTCAGAGTAGAAATAGCAACATGAGAATGATCCTTGGTCTGCCACACAAAGGAGGGGCTTTTCCTTGTAAAAAGCACATTATTAGGGCCCCTGGGTGGCTCAGTGGGTGAAGCCTCTGCCTTCGGCTCAGGTCATGATCCCAGGGTCCTGGGATCGAGCCCCGCATCAGGTTCCCTGCTCAGCGGGAAGCCTACATCTCCTTCTGCCTGCTGCTCTCTCCCTGTTTGTGCTCATTCGCTCTTTCTCGCTCTCTGACAAATAAAATCTTAAAAATAAAAAGCACATTTTTTAAAGAGATTGTATTTATTAGGGAAAGAGCATGCACACAAACAAGGGGGAGCAGCAGGCAGAGGGAGAGGGAGAAGCAGACTCCCCTCTGAGCAGGGAGCCTGACTCGGGGCTGGATCCTAGGACCCTGGGATCATTCCCTGAGCCAAAGGCTGATGCCTCACCGACTGAGCCCCCAGGCGCCCCAAAAAGTACCTTCTTTCAAAGAGCACACAGAGGGGCGAGGTGTGGCACCTGGCCATGCGGCTCCCTCCAGCTCATGTGTAGCCCATCCTGGGGGTCCGTGTCCCTGCACGAGCTGAGCTGTGCTCCCCCCCCGCTGACCTCACAGCCCTCTGTTGTCTCTACAGTACGGGGTGGACGTCATGGCCCGGGACGCCCACGGGAACACAGCGCTGGCCTACGCGCGCCAGGCCTCCAGCCAGGAGTGCATCGACGTGCTGCTGCAGTATGGCTGTCCCGACGAGCGCTTCGTGCTCATGGCCACCCCCAACCTGTCCCGGAAGAACAATAACCGGAACAGCAGCAGCGGGAGGGTGCCCACCATCATCTGAGGACCGCGCCCCTGCCCGCCGCACCGGGGCGCCGGCAGCCTTGCGCCCTCTCTCGGAAGTCACGACACGTGAGTCCTGTCGCGTCCCCACTCTGTTCCCGCTGGTCGCCTGCCACCTGCCCACCTGCCCTCACCCCACGCGAAATCACAAAACCCGACCGTCCTTGCGGGGCGAAGAGGAGGCCAGGAGGCTGGCGAACGGGGTCCTTTTCATAAACTCCCCTAGCGACAAGCAGGAGCTACCGGCGGGCCTCGGTTTATTGACGATAGCACACAGCAAGGGACCCCCCCAACCCGTCTGGTGGCCTGGAGACCTGGAGCGCGGCACAAGGGACAGGGACGAGAGGGGGAGGGGAGGCAAGGAGAAAGGAGAAGGGTAACTCTCCTTAACCGGCAGTTAAGCACATCAGTACACTTCACCTCTACCAAACGGAACACTCGGATTTCATCTCCTCTCCGAGGAGCTTGACGGCATAAATCAGAAGCAAGCAGAGTTTGTCAGGTTTGAAGCCCCTATGATGGTATGTGTCAAATCAGTTGTAGCTAATCTGTCCAGGGAGAATACTGGCTTCATTACACTTGCATAGTTGGGTTCTTCCAGCATTACCGCTGTTTAATAGAACATGATTAGTCATCACCGAGAAGAAAGCATATTAGCTGGGGAGGTAGTTACGCAGCACGCTTCGATGATTGCCACGATGTGATTGCAATACTTCTCAGAAGCATCGTATTATCCCAGACATGTTCTTTCGAGCCCTTGGAGCCCTCCTTTCTAAATTCACTGTCATAATTTAGTATCTGTTTAATTTTTCAGTCCAAAGAGAGGAAATCAGTTGCTGAGTATTATTTGACTGGAGTCTCCTTGGTGCAAAAACAAAATGGAAAAAATAAATAAGAGTAAGTCGGAAATTCGAAAGGAAATCACGAATTCAAGCTAATAATAACATTTCGAGGCCATGTAGTAAACTCGGTAAAGGCACAAAAGGCTTCTTTTTGTAAATCTAAGAGATTTTACTTTTGCCAAGGTGAATGTCTTGGGTCTCAGTCACTGCTGGGCCACTGCTGAGTGTCACACAGGCTTCTGTGTCATGTCTGTAGCTAAGATTGTGAAAATCTATTTGAATAAAAGAAGTTCATAAATATGCATTGATTTTTGTTCAGACAAATGGCACCTCTGTTAATTTATAAATTGAACTGGATGTGAACTAATAACGTGCAACTAGTTGAGATAAGAGGGTTACAGATCGTTGTACACGGAAAGCACTCCCAGCAGCAAACACTTCCATTAATGTGATCGACAGCTTTTAAAAAGGAAACTATCAGAAGACGATGGTGGTACAATTTGCTTATTAAAATCGAGAAAGGAAAAAAAAAAAAGATGCCTATGAGAGAAGGGGAGGGGGGAGACATGTGATTTCTCATTGTTTAGATCTGATACCACTTCTGCCAACCCAGAGGAGGGGGCTGTGGGGAAGCCAGGGATGAGTTTCTGAGTCCCGGCCCCGGGTGCTGGGCAGAGGCAGGCCATGACCGGCTGACTCTCGGGCACTGCTGGCACTTCACTGGGTGGCCAGACCCTCCATTTCCTTTACTTTGGCACCTAACCTGCCATCCCCGAGGTGTGGGGCAACTTCGGACTTAGCTGCCTTCAGCGTGATGGCCAAACAGAGTAAAAAATCAGATCACAACAGCTTAGGTTAAAAGGGAAGGGGTGGCTGTGCCTGAAACCCTTTAGCAAGTCCGAGTGAGAAGAGGGCTGTCTCCCTGGCAGGTGACCTTGGGTCCGGTGTCACCCAGGAGCAGGGCCATGTCTGCCCAGCCACATCTGCCCGCAGCCTCCAGGCAGGTCTCTTGCTCTTCTGTGATAAACCTATTTTGTAAAAGTTTTTTCTCTTCTTTCACTTTTTAAGAAAAAAAAATTAAGTAGGTGGGGAAAAAAATAAAGCTTTACACAGAATTTATATGTGGGTCAGTGTTTCATGGACATGTGTAACCTTGATTCCATTGCGTGGAAGCCAGCGGGCTCCGGGAACAGCAGGTGCGGAAGCCAAGAGGCTGGGAACCTTGACAACAGGTCCCTAATCCTACCCCCACCCCCACCCCCCCACAATTTTTAATTCTGTGTTTCATCACTGTGTAGTTATTTTAAATGTGAATAGAAAAAAAATGTCGCCTATTTTTGAAGAGCGCGTCACTGCTCTGATGCAGCTGTACGCGTTCGCCTCTGCACAGCCTAGCTTCTCGCGTAGACTTCATGTAGTGAACGCAGATACGGCATAAATGAAATTCTTAAATTATTTCATTGTAGTTAACTCCCACTATAGGAATGCTCTATTCATATAGCGAAGCCTTGTTTTGAAAAGAAACGGAATTCCTTGTCAGGCTTCCCTTCGAGATATATATGAGTGTGTACATATTATTATATGTGTTTATAATATAATATTTTCCCAAATGACTTCTTTTTTCACTTAGCCTTTCACGACCTGAATGCCAGATTGGTTCGTTTTGTTTTGTTTTTTCCTCCCTTCCCTCTCTCAGACACAGGGACTTCACTGATCCCTTCTCAGAAAACTTGACCCCTCTTCTGCTATTTTGAGCAATGTTGATCTGCGCTGGGAGGCGGCCAGCTTTCCTGAACCTGAGTTTTGGCAGCAGAGGGGAGGCAGTGGTGGGTTTCAAGGGTTTTCCTTGGAAAAAAAGGTGGCTGGTGGCTAATCTGCTTGTATTTCAGTGTCACACCAAAAGGCCTTTCTTCACTGACTGTGCTCTCATGCCCATCTCAAAACCTTGCTAACACTGAGGCGGGGAGGCAAAAAGTCACAAGGGCTGGTGTTAGAAATGACCAGTTCGGGAAGGGGGTCGAGTTGTCACTTTCTATTCCCATGGAAGTTCTGTGAAGTGACAGTGATGAGAAGACAGCACCGCATCATCCCCATAGCCTGTTCTATCCAGAAGTAAGTTTCCCTGAACTTGAAACCACCTGCTGGGGTAGGCACAGGTGCATGTGGTCACCGGGGAGGGTAGCTTCCCCATCTGGCCAGAAACTCTGCAGACGAAGGAGCCTCGATTCTGATCCCTTGAGAGCAGACTTCAAGAACTGGGTAGGAAGATGGCTCGCCAAGCCCAGAGCCCTAGTCATGGGGCCCTGGCCCCTCTGTCTCCTGTTGTCCCAGGAGATGAGCAGCTCGAGGGTGAGTGACATGTTCATAAGTCTCTGGCCCCATGAGCCGGCACAGTTCTATGTCTCCCAGGAAGAGTACGCTGTGTGTGATTATCCCGGAGAGCAGGGGAAGGCAGGCGGTCCTTGCCAATCCCAGGGCTGTCGAGGGCTCTTGCGGATTACTCTTGACCGGAACCCTAAAAGGAGCCCATTCTCTACCCATGACCCCAGGCACCGAGGCAGGGCCTTGCTCTTCTGCCTGTCTTCTGAAGTTTTGTCTAGCCTGATGCCACCTACCCAGCCTCTGCCATCGGGCCTTGGGACCAGTCATCCCCAGTTTTGTAACCTCTGCGCCCTTCCAGAGTCATCCTCTCCATCTGCAAAGGAGCAGCCACTGACTTCATGAGGGGAGAACAGGGTCCAGTGATAAAGACAGCCATAGGGCTCAGCAGACCCAGCTTCACCCGGCTTTGCTGCCCCTCCTGGGTGACCCTGGCCAGGTCCTCAGCTTTGGGGCGCTCTTTCCTTAACTGTGAAACTTGGGGGGGGGCGCGGGGGGGCCTTGCAGGATCCAATGACCCGTTGGTTTCCAAGCAATGTGATCACTGCCGGCCAAACACCCATCCAGGGGCTGGAAGCTCAGGAAATGGGAGTGTTCGGGAAGAACAGAGATGCTGATGGCATCAAAGCCTGCGCACCCACGTAGAGAGCGGCCCCCAGGCTGGAGGTGCTCGCGTTCTCCAGCCACGCCCTGGGGAGCCCGTGACAGCATGCTCGCCAGTCCCCCTCCCCTAGGCCGAGCCAGAGGATGAGCGAGGCTCTCTGTGAGCCCCTGCCCCAAGGGGTGAGCTCCAGTGCTCACTTCCTGATGTTTATCCTCCTGTCTTCGTGGTCTGATTTTGCTTTTCCAGAGGCAAAGTAAAGGTTGAGTCTTACCCTCATGCATTCACCAAGATCCCTTGAGGCCCAAAGTGACCCCTTCTCTCTGACGCCTTGCTGTGTCATTGGCTCAAACAGGCTTCCCACCCTTCAGAAGCCACCAGGAGGCTGCTGTCCACACTTGGCCCTCAGAGCTTGCCGAAGTGCACGCTGGCTGGCAGAGGTCGAGGCCCTGGGGCCTCTCGTGCGTCACTTAGACACTTGCACGGTGAGCGGGCACCTCGCCGGAGCTGCTCTCCCTCTTGAGGCTGGCGTTTGGCGGATCTTGTGCCTGCAGCTGGTGAACGTAACTTCCCCTCGAGGGCGGCCTTGGGTCCTACCCGGACCCCAGCCCGAGCTGTGCTCCAGCTCACCACGGCTCCAGTTCTGCCATCCCTTCCTCCTGGCATTTAGGATGTTCTGGAAATAAGAAATCCACATTCCCACCTAGGGAGGTTCAGAAGCCTTGCAGCAATGTAGAGCCTCTACAAGTAAGTATGATCCGGGCTCCAGAACTTCTCAAAAGGCAAAGATAATTGGAAAGCAAATCCATTACCCCTCCATGGGCTGCTTGCCCCTCCCCCACCTGCTCTATTTCCATCCCTCACGCGCCCCACAAGGTCGGCATGACTTTCTAGAACTCCCCTGGATTGTATTTATGTCCTTCAAGCAAACAAATTGAAAAGCAGTCAGGAAGGAATTCAAATAGAAATGTGCTGAAGATACACATCTTTCTTTCCCAGGAAATATAATTTATTTCTAACTGCCTCCTCGAACATGGGCTTCACACATTGTGAAGTCCTGTCTTCAAGTGATTTTCACCCTCATCCTTCACCAAAAAGCTAAATAAGGGCCTTTGGCATCCAGACTTGGATTTTTCACTTTGGACCATTATCAACAATGTTGTTTTTTCTTGAATTCCTAAGTGGCTTTCTTCTGGAAGCCCTGTGGTCATTGAGGCTTGGTATGGGCCCCACCCATGCTGCGGCCTGGCCAGGCCCCCCAAGTGTGTGGCTCACACGGGCAGGGGTCTGGCTCCCCAGCTGGCCCGAGGTGGGGGGGTTGGCCCCCACCCTGCTCTGTACCCTGCACCCTGGTGGGCCCTTCATGGTTCAAGCATCTCAGATCACCTTTCAGTCAAAATGTTGAATTGCTTCCAGTTATGCAGGAGAGATAAGGGGGAGTGGGTTCGTCCCTCGAGCAGACAGGAGC